AAAATGAGCAATGCCCTCTCCTTGAGGTCCTTGACGAGGACCTCTCGATTCCGCCCCGAGTGTGCTACCGTTACACCACGAAAGCATGCAGAAGGGAGGGAGAAAATACCTTATATACTCCCCTTTTAAAGGACGACTGGGGATTAGGGAACCCAATCGCCAAATCCTGGTGATGAAGAATCATCATCCACCGCCTTTTAGTTCAGGCGCCACTGTCAAAGACATAAGGTCATTTTGAAGACATTAGGTCATTCGAACCTGGACCTCTCAAATATGGAATTCGAACCTGGGACCTCTCAAATATGCGCCGAGTGTGCTAACCGTTACACCACGAAGGCATGGAGAAAAGAGGAAGAAAATACCTATCGAATGAATCTGCAGCTTAACATGATTGACTGAATAATTTTTAGTGTGATTATTATCCCCACTAGATCACGATAGATTCAAAAAGGCTCACCAGTTTATAAAATACAGAACGTTTTAGAAAATCTTCATTGTTTATTAAATTCAAAGTTTCATTATTACACATTAGATATTCTGACTCGAAACTTTAGAAAGATTAGTTTTAGGAAGTTTATTGACGTCCTCTAGAAACATTCATAAAAAAAAAAAAAAAAAAAAAAAAAAAAAGCAATTGTTGTAATTTCTTGTAGTATCTTCAGTGGAGTTCAACCATGAGTGTCATCTCTGGGCGTCTCCGACTGCTGCCTTCTTCATTTTCTAGACAGAACTGAGCTTTATGTGCTTCGTGTTTACCTGTATTAAAGACTGGAATAATCCTCATTCCCTTGATTTTAGCAGATTTTGCGAAAATAATACAAGAATTGAATTATTATTCAACTACTTTTTGCCTAGTTATATTGAGAGAATGAATTTTAAGTTTCAAGAATCTTAACTATGTACTTCATTTACTAAATCTCATTTGTAAGTTGTATTATTTCAAAAATTGCCTTATGTTATAATATGCACAAATTTTAAATTTTGATTTAATTAAGAACTTTTAATAATGTATAAAAGATTTAAAGTCCCCTACCCCCTATTATTATTCCTTACATGAAGGGTTCAAGACACAAAAATTTCTGAAGCTTTGAAATATAAGAACACATTTTAGAATTTATATTCGAGAAAATTTATAATTTGTCCCAGCTTTACTAATAATTAGTACGAAGTATCAGTATTGATATAATGTACAACCTAGTTAGTTATCTATTTGTTAGATGGCGCTACTAAATCAATATTTTTAAATAGGAAAATAAATACAAATAATTAAGAAGATATAAATCAAAATGATTCCTTTAATTAATTTAATAATTAAATGCTTAATTCCATTAAACTCTAATTTCTCCAAATTTCAAAAAATAAATACCGAAGAGGTCCTTAAAAGGACCTTTTCTATGCCTTGTTCGGCCATATACATTTCGAATGTCGTGCGGACATGGCCAAAGTACAGTCATCACTTTTATCAATTAATCTCCACCATGCTTCGGAGAGATAACGTGGGAGCATTTGCGGTGTGATACACCGCATGCTATGCAGAATCTTTAGCTTAAACAACCCCCAGCCCCCAGTATGATTCAGTTGTTTGAGAATTAGCTCTGTATTAGTACTAACTAAAAAATTTGAATTTAAAAAATTATTAGTAGCTATCTAAAACATTTGGGCATCTAAACAATAATAATTAATTAAAAGTGATACAGGGAGACCCAAAAATCCGTTAATATTTGAAAATTCAATAATTCACTGAATAATGTAATTACAGAGGTAAAACCTGACACACATGCTTGAAATGTCTTGGGGTTTTACTGAACACCAAAAAGAAAAAAAAGTATTGAAACGGCCAGCAGTTGGCGCTTCATATGATAAAAAGAGCAATAATTAGCATAACAATAAATTTTTAGCGAAGACTATGCTCTTTGTAACAAATTTTCAACATGTCGTCCGTCATTCATCAGCAATACCTGTAGCCGAGGGTCGATGTTGTGAACAGCGCTGTACAGCATATCTGAAGGTATGAGAAACTGCCGTCGGATATTGCCTTTTACCATCCCTAATGGAGTCAGACTTGCGATTTCAGGTAACCACCAACCAATAATCACAAGGATTGAGATCTGGGGACCTGAGATGCCAAACATGACAGAAGCGACGGCTCAGCACGCGATCCTCACCAAACAATGAGTGCCAGAGATATTTTAATTTGGAGTGGAACGCCATTCTGCATAAAAGTCATACCTTGCAACAGGAATTTATGAGCCAGAGCAGCGATGATGCGATTCTGCAACATATCAACATACCTCGCATCCGTCCCACTGACAGTTTAAATAGCAGAACCACGCATTTCCTTGAAGAAAGGATTCCGATCACGCTTGATGTGATAAATCCACGTCACGCCGTGACCAACACCCGGAGACGAGGATAGAAATTGACAAAATCATGAAAGGATTGATTCCCTTCCTCACTACAGCTCATTTCATACACGATTCTCATGTGGCGTCACTGACATTTTGCTGTCTAGTGCCACATGTTGGCCTTGTTTTTTATTTTTATTTCTTTCAATAAAACCTCATGCCATTTCAAACATGTATGCCAATTTATACCTCTGTCTCTGTCTACATTATTTGATTATTGAATTTTTTAATTGTAACATTTAGTATTTAATAATTTGTAATGGCAACATTTAACATTTAGTAACTTGTGAATGGCAACACTTGTAAACATCTAAAATTAGAACTATCATGATACTGCAGTGCTCTATAACATATAATATTCTATGCTTATAAATAAATAATTTAAAAAGTTAAAATTGCACCCTCTTTATTTTATACGAATGTTAATGGACTTTTGGGTCTGCCGTTAGGTCGCATACTACATTAGTACCGAAAAATGTACAGCCTCGTTTGGGGAAAAATGTGTCCTTCGAGGACTGTTTGCTTTGTGCTGATGTTAACACACTAATTTAACCTGAACAATTTAACAAGAAGAAGAAGAAAACCTGGTCAGTTTTATATTTTAAATTATGAACATTCAACTGTCTGTAGCTCTTTGTCTCTCCATTAATTCTTCTCGATAAGGTATTTTTAGTAGCTTTCACAAAAGCGTGTATAAAATAAGAAAAACTAAATGTAAGCAAAAGAAATTTTTCAAATTCGAAGCATGATTATTCAGACTACAAATTATGCGATAATCGTTCGCCTGAGAGCACGTGATTTTATATGCATTTTAAGATGATAACTCCTTTAAGAAACAATAACACGCCGAATAAATACTAATTCAGAAGTCAAACAACAAAAATCAGCGTTATATTTACAAAATTTTCACAGGACTAGTTTCGATGGTTTTACCGAACCACCATCTTCAGCTGCAAAACCGCAAACCCCATTCCGCATTCCGCATCAGCTGCAAACCCCATTCCGGATATGAATTCCTGGGGTATTTATAGGATTCCTTGCCAGTGTGGTTTAATTTACATTGGCCAAACTAAGAGAGCCTTAAAATTTCGCGTCAAGGAACATGAGGCATATGTTAGAAAAAAGGAAACACAGAAGTCTTCTGTTGCTCAACATTGTTGGTCCGAAAACCACACTTTCAGTTTTTCTGCTGCCAAAATTATTCAAAAAACATCTTCCATTGGAGAACTGGATTTTCTAGAGGCATTTCACATTCATAAAAATCTTTCTGTTCTAGTTAACGATCCTAATTCCAATCCAAATTTGCCTTCGGCCTTTAAAGAAATTATGTTTTAGTTCCGGTTTTACCAACAGATGGCGCCACTTGCTTATTCTTGTCCAGGCTTTCTTATCTTATCTATTCATTATTTCCTATCTTGTTCATTTGCGGTTTTGCAGCTGAAGATGGTGGTTCGGTAAAACCATCGAAACTAGTCCTGTGAAAATTTTGTAAATATAACGCTGATTTTTGTTGTTTGACTTCTGAATTAATAACTCCTTTGTTTCGTTTATGCAAGCACGAGAATTATTGGCGTCTATAAAGCGGAAAAGTCGCCGCAAGGCATCTAAAGAGAATTGTTTTTATTTTAGTTTTATGTAATACCATTTTTTAATTTTAATTATCATCGTAATTGCATGAAGAAGATATGCTGACATAATAAAAGAACCTTTAAATTGCCATAACTTTTAAAGAAAATACTTAAATGATGAATTATCGAATAGCTTTAAAGTTAATTACAGATAAAATGAGGTAGGGTATATTAAAGATACGTGCAAAGGGATAAAATGTATAAACCAATGAAGCGATTTTTTCTAAATATAATTGGAACGATCGTTTCTATATGAAGCTGCTTGACCTATATTTGCAATGGCGATAGTTTTGTCAAAATCATTTGTTCAAGAAATTTTCTGCATTTAATGTTGTTTTATATTCACGATATGCTCTGAAATTGAAACCTTTTTTTCTCTATAGTATCTTCCAATTAATGTGTTTTACAAAACGAATTGATGAATGCAATACGCCCATATGAAATAGCAAGTACTCTGTACCGTAATGTCAACAACCGGTGATTAAATGTTGATCGATGTGAACCAGATCTATCTAGAAATATCTCATAATCGTATTATATTCCCTACTCCTAACATAAACTATTTGTTCTCTGCCCCAATTGATCATTTCTCTATCATTTTCAATCTGGCATTAATGTCACATTTTCTGAAACAAATAACTATTACTATTGATGGAATTTATCAAACAATAAGATCAAGAATATTAAAAAGGACGATCCACCTATATTCCCTAGTTTTTCCAAATAACTCTTATTCAAGAGCACATCTGATCATTTGGTAGATTTTAAAGCACATAATGGAGATTGATTTGGAATGTAAATTATATCATTGAGTCTGATGTGCTTGTAATATAAAAATGTCTAAAACGCAAAACATTATCTTGTAAAGGTTAAAAAACGTACTTTTAGAGTCTCGTTAAATAAAGACAGAAAATTAATTTCATACGCACACACACACCAAAAATATTATATATATTTTTAAACTAACCTGCTGAACCAAGATTTCCAGACCCAAGTACACCTATTGTAAGATCACTTAGCACTCGAAAATTCGGAAAAAAGGGTCGAGCCCTGAAAAAGAATCAAAGGAAATTAATCGAGGGAAGTGAAATAAAATAAGGCTCTAGTGCGAAATTGGGTGCTCCTTTGATAAGCGACTATTTTGTTTTTAATTTTGGCGATAAAACCTCACTTCTGGTTACCATGATAATTTTAACTGTGTTTTAGCTTCCTGATTTTATTTAAAGGAAAACAGATTGATGTGTACATGGACAAATTTAAGGCGGTGCGGAATGCCTAGTTTGTGCAATTCTATGGTGTTTTTAAGTGAAAAACGATCGATGTGTACATGGACGAGTTTGTGCAATTCTTTGACTTCTTATTTTAGTTTTGTGTAGCGGCCATCTTGAAATTGTGCATTCCTGACGCCGATCTTGGCGTCAGGAAACTCCCATACACTTGTAACTTTTACCTTTTACCTCCTTTTTTAAAAAATTAAGGGAAATTAACTGAGGAAAATGAAGTTTACCTTTTTTTTTTTTAATATTTAACTTCCCATCCTACAGAAGTTCTCACCTGGTCTTTATTTCCGCAACCTTTTATCAGAGACATGTACTTTCACTCACAAAAATATGTTGCTTGCATACGGGTTCGTAGGTAGTTGAATGCACCCAGAACCGATGATAACTCGATCAAATTTATTTTCCCAAAAGAAACACTTTGCAGTTCTGGAACTTTCCACAAAAGTACTCGTACTGCTGTTCTCAATATCATATAGATGTGACATAGATCAGTAGTTACACTTCAAACTATCACAACGATGCAATGCGCATCTAAAAAGCGAAGCTCTCACACATATTTCTTAATACTCCGAACTCAACTCTAAACAACTGGGAACTGATGTTCTTTACGGTCTTACATAGTTTTCCCCGACCGCCGAGAAATTTTCAGTACCTTCGATTTCTCGAAATTTCTGGAAAGCATTTACGGTTGCAGTTCCATATAGTGTCGGATATATTTACTGTTATGTATGGGAATCAAACTAATTACAGTTATACGGGAATCGGACCCATATGTCGTTGAATGATCGCCAAGTTTGGCGAATGTTGGCGATTTCTCTGCAAATAAACCGAAAATATTATTCTGCAAAACCCAACCATCTTTATTATACCTCGCCAATTTAGAAAGATATAATGTTAAATATACCTTAAATGTAAATGGATGTTAAATGGACGTGCAACTGTAATCTTATTTTTCCGGAGGAGCATCGCATTCTTGAGACCTTTGATGTTGCATTCCACAAGAGATACTACAATTTTAAGTATAATTTCACTAAAATTATTTACACACACACATATATACAGGGTGATTCAGAATTCATCATCAATATTTGGTGGGGGAGGTAGGAAGTAGGAAAAGAAGGAGATTTCGCATAGGAATGCATGGGTGCATATGCCATGGAGTAGGGCAAAATGAATCCAGTTTAATGCTGGAAAGAACACATAAAAAGGAAGTAGTAAAGAAAAAAACATTTATTATCTTACATGTAACATTTCTTTGCATCGGTTTTACAGATTTACAAGAGGTGCTCGAACTGCTGACCATGTGTGTTGTGAGTCATGTGTGCGGCATGATTCACAACGGCGTTGCATGGGCAACCGAACCTTCTGGAATATGCATGGCATTTACATGCATATCTGCAAGTTCATTCCACGTATACCGGTTCATGTTACTTCTGCAAAGTCACCTAGTCAAATGGCAACTGGCTGCTCACGTCAAACAACTATGCTTATGTATGGAAGTCGTTTACACACAAACGCCCTCTTTACCACCATGCGTTCGTCTGCGCTCATACTTTCCTATGTGAAATCTCCTTCCTTTCGTATTCCCTACCTCCCCACCAAATATTGATGATGAATTCTGAATCACCCTGTATATATACATATACATATAATTCCTAAAAGCCGCTGAACACTAGTAGTTCGGTCCGGGGTTCGAGTCCCGGCGAACGGTCTGGCTGCATGGGCGTTTTCGTGGTTTTCCCCATGTGTAACGCGGATACGAGCCAGTTTCCCTTAAAAAGACCTCCACGGGGCATCCCTCTTTCTCCGTGTAGTGCCTAAGGGGGGAGCACGTAAATAAAATTAAATGTTTAATTCCTAATAATATTTTAAATGACGCAAATATTCAGATTTTCGCATTGTTTTAATTTAAAGAAATAATCAAAATTACGAAATCCAACTTTTTAAAAGTTCCTCTAGTCTCTATAACTTATATTTAGGAAAATTTTCACTTGTTATAAAAATAAAACAAAAAATGGTTGAAATTCCAAGGACAGAAATTCACCGAGGAATGTGGTATTAAATACAGTCGTATTCAGACGCTATTAAAAATGAAGAGCGAAATGTTTGCATTTGTACTTAATTGAAAATAAAATATTAATTCAGAGAAAAGTTTCTGATGTCAAGTGATTAAGTGTTGACAATTTCTATGCAGACTGTTGCGAAATTGATCAACAATTTTTTTTTTTCAACAAGAAGACTTCTCCCCCACAGAATTTGTTTTCTAGAGAACAGTGGCAGGTCTCAGTATTGACACGTAACAACTGTATAAATAAAAAATAAAAAAATATTTGTAATTTAATCACTTTATTAACGATTGTCAAATTATGATTCTAACGTAGTAAAACTTCATGAGAATATTAATAACGTATTTTTAGACTTTGAAAACACATAAATTACTTGTGTTCTTTAAATATGGCATGAGTAAAAAAGTATAAATTAAAGACACTCATAAATTACGATAGATTATCATTGAATGACATTTAGGGGGGAAAAATCACCTTTGAATTATTCTTATTTGCTTATCAACCGACTCATCAAAGCACACTGAAAAATGTCTTTAGAATTCACAAATTTTCAAATTATATACTTCCGATCAATTTTTGTTGTAAGGATGCCAAACGTTTCGGGTTTTATTTGTTATAATAAATGTAAAATGTTTCTAAACATAAAAGTACAGATCGAAGGAATCTATAAAAAGTTAGTTTTCGTAAATTTTACGATTTTTTTCTTATAGCGAGCTCTAACAACTTATAGACGTTTATTCAGGCCGTAAGTGTTGGTCACTTTATTATGGAGGCACCTAACAGGTGGGCCATATCCATGCCTTCTCCGAGATTCGAACCCGGGACCTACGGTGTGGCAGTAAGATTCACTAACCACTTTCCGTCTGGGCGGAATTTTTATAAAATTAATGCTTTTAAATTTTAAAATGCCAAAACATGAATATTTGTGTCATTTAAAATACTTTTATAACTGGATGTATAGGTCTATGAACAACAGTTGCGAAAGTAAAGGCTGGGTAAGGACTATTGTGAACACAGTGTACATTTGATAACTTATAAATTTCTTAAATATGAGTCATTATATCTAATAAGATATATAAACACAATTTAATAAATTTAACCAATACAAAATATAAACAAAAGCTTAAAGTTTTGATTAAATTATAAATTTAAAAAATTAAACTGGTTCAGTTAAATTAAGGTAAAATTAATCAATAATCGTAAATTTTAAACATAGCAATGTTAAAATTTATCTTCTGATTTGAGTTGCACTTAATATGAACAAGACTGGTTGACCTAAAATCGAAAAATTTTAAGTATTTTAGTCCTCTGACCGGCAAGACCGTATATATACGGCCTAGATTATTTTTTGTGATGTCTGTAAGAACGTATATATACGTGCATCTTAAAATATGTCCAAGAAATTAAGACAATGTATTAATTGTTCATAAATCCAGGCCGTAAATCCGTATAAAAATGTATAATTTGATTAATAAACCATTTTTAGCTCAAACGTTAAACACAGAAGAGCTATTAATTTCGTTTTGGCATTTTGCATCTATTCACTATAAATGGTGAATCACTTTTCAAATTGCTGCCGCCAAATATATCCGCCTATATCGGTAAAGAAATTAAAAAATAATGGCAATGTATGCATGTTTCGCACTTCGGGCCCACGCGGCACCGGTAACTCGCGAACGGTAGTTCGGTACGAGTTCGCATCCCGCACGGGCTGGATGCAGGGCGTTTGTGGTTTACCCAGTGTAAACGTGATACAGCCAGTTCCTTAGAAAGTCCTCCACGAAGGCATCCTACATTAGAGGCAGATAGCCCTCGAGGCTTTGCCATAATCACACACACACACACACACAGTTTCTCGCACTTCGAAAAAACAACGGTACCTAGAGACATCAAATTTTAAATAGCTTAATCCTCCATTGCAATATAGGCATCTGGAAGCCGAAATTCAGAATTTGGATCTTGTTTTATTACCTAATTTATATTTTGCAAAACTTTAACGAGTTTTTGATTAACAAAGTCCATGATTTCAAAGCGAGCAATGGCTAAAAAAAATTTTATACCAGCGCGCGAGACTGTGTATCGAGAATTCTAAAGATGTGTTCTTTTTAAATAATTTGGTGATATTGCTGTTGAATTGAATGTTATGGTTTAAGTGCGAAGATTATGATATCTTATAAATAAAAGAACACACAAAATGTTAAAAAACATCCCTTTGGGCGTAATATAAAATCTGAAAGCTTTCAGATTTTTTTTATTGTTATCATAATTAAATTGCTCATTTCTTTGAAATACTGTTGGAATGCAAGAAGAAACTTTATGTTGAAAATTTACTTTGTTTCAAAATGTACTTGCAAATAAATTCCAAATCACAGAGTTCTTTGGTATTAAAACATCAAACCTTAAGGTTCAAAATTAAAGTAAGGAAAGTAACTAAAATGGAGAACAATCACTTTTAATTAATAATAAAACTTAATACTTACCACTCATTTGTTTTCTGCTTATGACTATAAAGATAAAATCCTCTTTCTGTGTTAACTATTTGGGCAATAACATAATTAGACATCAGTTCACCAAAATATGAATCACCAAATCTCGTGAGTTTGAAGTTCGGAAACGGCTGTAAGATAGTTAAAGAAGCATATTTAATGTTGATATACATTTCATGTTATTTGAATTTTAAGTAATTAAAAAAATCTCAGCAGTTTCTAAATTTCTATTTAAAAATTACTCTTAATAACTAAACCAAATAATAATGAACGCAAGCAGGAAAACCAGTCTGTACAGTAATGCCTTGTGAAATAAAGGAAAATGAATGAGGTGAAAGTTAAGATCAACCCGTAACAAAACCATTTCGTCAAGATTCAGATAAAATAGAATGAACATCGCAAAGATCGAGAACAAACACACATAAAGAAAAGGAAATTTCAGGTTAATAACGCATGGAAACCGGGAAACTAAACAGGTGAAAGCTAAACTTCTTTCTGGAAAGAATATGCAGAGTTGAACACGAGTTTGAAACTCCACCGTCACCCACCATGTTCACCCAGAGTTTGGATAAGTGACGTATAAAATACTTTAGTATTTCATAACTAATTGAAGTCTTCCCTTCTAGTTTCAAAAACTAATAATTAGCAAAATTTGATGTTAGAAGAAGATATATTAAATGCGGTTCATGCGTAAGGAATTATGGAATTTCTCCGTGCGTGTTCTCAAGATGTAAGTGTCTAGGACGTCCAACTAAGATTTGGAAGGTAGCCTAGGTTTATGTAATATTGATTTTCCATTTTTCTGCTTCGTGAACCTAATGATCTGGAAAACTGAATACCCAGAAATGTATGATTGAAATCTAACTTTCAAGTTCATGTAACAGATGGAAACAAGGAAAGCAATGTATTTTAACTGCAGAAGTTTGAGAAAAATATTTCATCGGACTGCAATGAGAAACTAAAGGCTCTTCATATTGCCAAAGACCATTCTACTCTGATATTTTACATCCGCCTTTCATCAAGTGGCCTCGTCCTTAGACGTACGGACAGAGAACGAATGTGTTTGCGATGCGGCACCACACAATCACTTTAGCTTCGTGTAAAGGCGCTGGTGCCATATTGTGAGGATTTTCGCCAGCCCAGTGACCACTGTTCTTGGATTTTACCTTCCCAGTTAAGGAGAATATGAAACAGTAATATCCGCAGCGGCCACCTACTATCTTCATCATATCATATAAGGAATGATGATGATCTCTTTTTCTCAAATGTTTACGCGGTAGTTTTCGTCATTTTTTGCTTGCATGATTCCAATGCCCTTTATGGTTTTTGATGTGCTGATCAATTTGCACAGGAAAACAAATGGGTATTGCCATTCGAAAATTTATAAATGTTTTCACTGTAACCATAATCGTGAAGCTGTGTTGGTTTAAGTCATCACAATCTAAAGCGCGTACCTTCAAATAACAATATCTGAAATTTCGTCTCTATTGGTTGAGCGGACAGGTAACTCGAATCCCTATATCTGGAACGTATTTTATGACCCCTCCCCTATATTTATGTTTTCTATTCTTTATTTTAAGCAGAACATCCCTCCTTTCTGAGAAAGGCAATTATGATTTCATTCATATACTATTTGTGAATGAGAGATTTAATAACTTAATGCATGCTATTTTAAATGGTTAGTTGGCGATGCAATTAGAGAAGAAGACAAAGATCTTGAAGGCCGTCTTCCTCAAGAGAAACGTATCTGAAGGGAAGATTTTCTAAGAGGAATTTTATCTTTCGTATTTGTGTTGGGCATAAGAAAACTGACTATACCTTACGCACTAAGCCATCGGGAACTGATCCTAAAGCCTGCACTGAGAAATTAAGCATGATATGAATATTTTGCTATTCCTCAAAATGAAAATAACCAAGCAAGAAAAATGAAAGGGAAAAAAGGCAAGAAATATTTAGTTACATTTTAAATATACAAGATAAACAAGACATATAATTTATAAAGTACACTGAAACAGGTTCATTTTATATTCAACAGAAAGATTTCATGTTAACATCCTTTTCATGTGTTTATAAGAAAGCGTTAAGCAATAAAGTTCTAATTGATATAATAAAACTAAATATCATACCTTTGATTTTTCCACTTCTTCAAATATCATTTCCACACCTTGGGAGAGGCAAAAAATTAATTGTGAATGTTAATGCCTAAAATAAAATTTGCATTATTTCTAATTGATTTGATATTTCATCCTCCCTTTAAATTAAATGAAAGTTTTCGTAAATTTGAACATCTGTTTACATGCTATAATTTTAGTCGTTTACTTTGCACTTGAAAAGAAATGCACATTCATGTTTGTGAAAATTGTCTGCACCCCGAAGGGATTATTGGATTAGAAAGAATTTAACCCGTGAGTTAGAGATAGTCCTACAAATTAATGACTACAGTTTAGACCAATACAATCATATTCAGTCACACAAAATCAGCATTTTGGAAGCCAACGGAAATAAGAGTTTTTGTACATGGTAGTATCAGATCTAAGAGGCTTTGGATGCATTCCTGAAGTATTGCCTCGTAGGCTGCTTCAATACGAGTCAAAAATTGCGTTATAACCATATCTCATACATATTCAATGCATGATATATCTTGTGAATGGATAGACCAGGGAAAAACCCGTACCTGCGAACCTAAGAAAAATGTTTGGATATTAAGGATAACAACTGGGAGAGTGTTTCTTGTTAAATGTTGTACCAGAAGTGTAAGGAAGATTTTGGAGTCTGTAACTTCCCCGTTGTAATAGTTGCAGTTGAGAATACCAGTATTCCATAAGTTCCTAATAAAGACTGCCTATTCCAACTGTAGCACTCCTCACCCTCACGCCTTTAGTTCGTCTAATATAATGCTGTAAAATGCATCCTGAAAAATGGTGCACACCCGCTGCTGGATTAACCATTAAGCATAATAAGCACGTGTTTAGAGCATTTAGGAAAGACGGTACCACGAAAAGGTGCTCAAGGGCTTGCGAAAAGGGGCACCACAAGCAATTTCATTGCAAGTTTCGTCACAGAATTTATGGGGCAGTAGAATGTTTTAAGTGCTTACTGTGTCTAAGAGTAAATATGGCACTACAATACTATTTAATGCGTATGCGGTCATAATTGCAATATAGGTTAAAGCAGAACTCACCAGAAAACATGACGCCGAGCTATCACCATTTTCTATGTATATGCACACATTGTATCTAAATTGTCAGTGATTCACATTCAAGAAAATTTCCCCGAAGGAATGCTTTCAAGCAGTCCCCTGCGAAGTAAATGTTGCTGACTCGTGTAATCAGACAATGTTGCACTCATAGCAAAGCTCTAACTCTGCGCCAACATTCGAGAAGCTGTATGGTTTTTCACAATCATGCGTATGAGATGTCTTTAATCCCATTGTTTCATCACATTTTGTGGTCCACTATTGGACTTCTTTTTGTTGTTGACAGAAGAGTTAATCTACTGGGTAAGACGCTTATCAACGTCTGGGGTACTGTTGATGGAATAAACAAACTTACACTAAGTGCTATGTTCTAGCGGCTTTTAAAGTGAGGTATACGCAAAGCAGAACAAAAATAGTGTGGAAAAGGTACTTCTTGTTGACGCTCAGTTCTCTTCAGTTCTCGGTTTCCTTATTACTACCACAGTATTTTGTTATGTATGAGTAACAATATCACGGTGCCAAATGCTCACTTATAAAAAATCGATAATTCGTCCCCTTGGAATTCTTCATTTTCCTGAAATGATGCCGTTTGATGTTGATTAGAGATAGTGACTCCCACAGGACTCACTGACAATGATATAATATTTGTATAGCTCCTTAAAAACCTTTTTTTTTTCTTTTCATGCGATTTTTCAGAGGGCGATCCTAAGCCCGGACATTCGCCTTCATTCAGATTTGCGTTACTGCAAATTTGTAAAGATGAGTATATTTAGATTTCCGTATCCAGTAACTAAAATACTTTACTTGGAGAATAAGGAAGACATAACTTAAATTCAGTGTTTGATTTTAGTAAGTGTCATTGTATAGTCATTAGGTTTGTCTAAGAAGGAAACATGAAAATAGCCAGTAACATAGCTAATGCCTTTGCGGAATTTGAATTCCGAATCTTCTGACTGTTAACTAGGTACGTTTCTAACTACACCGCGAAGGCACTTGGTATACATAAAATATAATAAACATAAATAATAAAAGAATTTGACATACGTAAAGTATGTCACATTGTTTATTGTTCGAAACCAAAGAAGAAAATTAGTTATGACTGCAATGAGTGCGTGATATTTTCTTTGTAAGAGATACTTCTGTGAATTGCTTTCTAAAGGAAATCCGAGTAACTAAACTAACGAAACTACGATGGTTTTTCTCTTGTTGAAATAAGCGTATTTATAGAGATCTTTCGTAACTGAATAAAAATAAGAGTTACAGTTTCCCTCAACATATATACTTCTCGGAGGCATTTATCCTCTTAGGCAAACGTTTTCGCTTATAAATCAATCCATTTTATCTCACTGCCAATGAAAATACTAATTTTTCGATAACTTTATGAGTTAGAATCGTAATAATATCTTAGTTTCTGATTTCAGTTTAAGATGTGATACTTAAATATTGAACAAAAGTATGTGCCCATGTTTTAATACAATTTATTAAGAAAAACAATTATGTTACTTTTGAGTTATCAAATTTTACATACACTGTGCAATGTAGATGCGGAAATTTTATTATATAAAAGTGGTGGAATTTCAGAAATTCTTTCAATGGATATATTTTATATTTCACTACAAAATCTTAACACAATTCAGAAAATTTAAATAAAAGTTAACGGATGCAATTTCAAAATTCTTCCAATAACATTTTTAATATTTCAGTTTAAAAGCATAACATTATTCAGGAAAGTAAAATAAAAGAAAATAAGCTGACGTGGTTTTAGAATTTATTTTCATAGATTTATTTTCATCTTTTCTTGAGAATTTTTAATTTGATTTAAAAAAATTCATATTTATTCTTAGTCAAGAAATAATTGCAAATTTTTTTCTTACCAGCCCAAGTAGCCTGAACCCACTTTGCGTTAGGAAGCTGATAAAGTATCTTAGCCAGACGAGAACTATCAATAACAAGGACTTCAGCTTTCTGCACAGTTTCAATTTCTTCATTTGAAAGTTGAATACTTTTATCCCATTTGATTCTCTTATCTGAAATTTTATTAACAGCCATTGGTAATAAAGAAAAATAAAGAATGAAGACAATTATAATACTTTTTACATTTTCATATCGATTTACTTCATTTTTTATGAATTTCACTATTGATTATGTATGCTTCCTTAGACTGCAAATCATGAAATACAACAATAATAATTTTAAATCTTTTGTGAAACAAGCTTTATCTTTCAGTTAGTGTATTAAGAAAACAGTCAAACATAAGATTATTGTCTCAAAACATTTAAAATTTCAGGATAATATCAAACACCGATAAAATTTTACATTTTATGCAGAATTACCATAGTTTTCAATCTCTAAATACAAATGCATTTTATGTATCATGAAACTTCGGGAAATGTAAATGAAATAAATAAGAAAAAGTATTTCGAAATTTTTGGCAAAGAAATCTGCATACCAAAGCAAGGCAGGAATTACTGAGCCGTAAAAAATGATAGTAGTGTAAAACCATATGGTTCCAATCGAAAATTTGGTGTTTGCGTCTGCTTAAGAAAGTAATTAAAATTACTCGTGTTTAAGTAGCATATGTATGTAACAGAAACAGGTTTCTGAAATGCTATACTTGGGAAAAAGGAAAGTTTTAGAATTCGCTTAGTAATTACAATTGAGACTCCGATATGCACAAATATGGGAATATCACAAATTCCAAATGGAGGGATGACGTGACGTTTAACACTTAATTTTAGAGCTCCTATTAATGCGTCATAAACATAATCGAGTCACAGCAATGTTTAAACAAAAAAAAAAAAAAAAAAAAAGGTGTACATTGCAGAAGAAAATGGAAATCGCATGGTAGGAAGGAATTTTGGTGTGGAGGAAAATAAAGCGAGACTTGAGATTCAAACAAATGACACTCTTGAGAGAACATCGCAAAACATACAACCCTCTTGTAGGAAGATATCAAAATATTTCAACCTGGAAACTCAATCTGTTGAGTTCTAGCAGTGAACTTCGGGTATGTGGGTTTCCTGTGCCTGTTGAAATGATTTAATTCGAAACTAGAAGAATTGCTCAAAATATGAAAATCGTAAAAGAGAATTTACGGAAAGTTTAACTGGGAAAGGCACTTCACGACATGAACTCATTCGGATTCAATTTCCATTAGCGCAATAGTTTTCTGATAGCTACCAAGTTCAGTTACATGTTCTGCGCCTAAGGGTATGCCTTTCTTCCTTGACATACTAAATAACATTGTTATGTATGCCTGAATGTAGCGTGGCTTCATGGAAACAGACATCAGAAGAAATAGTATATAAAATTTCAGTATCACACCCATTCGATTGGTCAGAAAACAACACTGTGTATCTCGCATCATTTGGAAATGAAGTCTCAGATGATGCTGATTGTGACAGTGAAGTTTCAAATTAAAAACAAAATATAGCTCTCAGTTTCAAATAATGATATTGATTATAAGCTTCATAATTTTGAAACATTTAAAAGCAAGTAATGATAATAAATTATTTATTATCTAGTGAATAGACTACATCATAAAAAATATACGGTAAAAATATGTGACCAATACACATGTGAATACGGTAGTGAATGTTTTCTGTGCGTTCAGTAATGCTTTGTTTCAGCAAAAACATTATGTAAAAGCATTAATGTAAACAATTTAGCAAAAAGACACAAAAATGCATTTTACGTAAAACATGCTATCTTTTAATTTCTTAAAGACACTTTGTGAAGTACTCTGAAGCTTAAATAAAACCAAAAATACACTTCTATTAAAAAAATAAGCAACAAACGCTTTTAGTGTTTGATGATGCAAAATGATGCGAATGTAAAAAGAGGAATTAAAACATACACAATTTACATATGAGGTACAGGCTGCATCGCCGAATGCAAATAAGCAACCAAAATTAGCATACGTAAAACGCAATCCAGCAGTCACACCATGACGACTTAAAAAGAGGCATGCTGGACCTCCAGCGTCAGTTTGCAAAGAGTGACAGTTCGTGTAATCCGAAATAGGCAAAGCGGATAGCACGAGCCGAAAGCACCATTTTCTGGATGAAATGCATTGAAGAGCTGTCGAGATGTTTCAAGCTGGTGCAAGACAATCCGCTGTTACGAGAGAGCTGAATGTGCATCGCAGTGTCACTAATACCAAAGGGATCGAAATGGCTTCTCATCTCTCTGCTGCTGCAGGATGGCCCATATCTTGCCAAACTGTGTTGCGAAGGCCACAAGAATGTGGACTGTACACCCGACGACCTGTGGTTTGTGTTGTTTTGCCCCCATCGCATGTCAGAGCGCGGTTGAAATAGGTCCATGAACATCGCATTCCAACCCAAAGCAGTGGAGCCACATACTCTTTAAGGACGAGTCTCTATTTAACATCCAGAACTATTTCCGAAGGGCACTGATTCAGCAAGAGCTAGGGCCACACTATTGGGCACCGAACTTCGTCGAAAAGAGACCATTACAAAGGATGAGGCTTACATATATGGGCTGGGATAGCAACGAACGGCCACACCGACCCCTACGTAGTTCCTGGTGGTTTCGTCACAACCGCTCGACATCGCGACGAAATTGTACAGTTTCTTGTGCGTCCTTTTATCGCTGCAATGGATACCAACGCGGTATTTATGGACGATAACACTCGTCCGCATAGAACTCAAGTGATGAAACCATTCCACTTCTGCAGTGGTCAGTTAGATCACCAAACCTGAATCCCATAGAGTATGTGTGGGGCATGTTGGAACGACAGATAGCAGGTCGCAATGTGCCGCTGGGAATTCTAGACCAGCTCCGACATGCATTACTATAGGAATGGGCGCCACTGCCACAATAAGCGATCAATGACACTATTACTAGTTTGCCTTGCCGTTGTAAAAGGCATGCATTTCAGCTGGAGTGTGTCGTATTATTATACGTTAATAGCGTGATGTTTCTATTGCACATTCTTCCAATACATTTGGTCTTTCGCGATGTGATGGTCGTATATATGTGTTTTTGTATGTCTTTGCTTTATTGTTTGCTATCTGGTCTAGTAATGCTGCACCAACCTCTTGGATCAATTTCATGCATATCTATCAAATAATTGTTGTTTTACCTTTGTTGCTTATTTTTCCAGCAGATTTATAGTTCGATTTTGCATTTAATACTTCAAATAAAAATATAGATCACGTATCTAATGTAATTTTTGATTGCTTTCGTTTTAGCTTTGTTGTTTGAAACTACACTAAACGCGTTCTAGTTCTTTATAGCATATATCTCATTAGGTATACCATTATTTTTTAATATTGTTTTAAATTTTAAGAACAATTTTGTATGATTTTATAATATCCTCTAACGGTCTGAGAAAACTCAAAGAATGGTAATTGCTTTCATTGGTAATTGTTATTATTAATTTTTGTAAAAAGAGGGATATTTGTATATGAATTAGGTAAAATGAGATGTCTGAACGTTATAAGCAAGCATTTTTAAGTGTGATTAAGCCAATAAATTAAGAGTAATTTGAAACCATTTACCTCGAACAGTTTGAATAGATTTGCACCATACTACAATTCAGCCTTCTCAGAAATTAAAGATCAGCATTAAGATTGTAATAATATGTCTTTTCAGCGCATCAGCAGATATTTCTTAATCATCATTCATTATGCCCATGTTCAATATACGAATGAAACAAATTTCTTTAAACTGAAAAGTGTGATAGCTACCTATTTTATTTTTTTATATGCTTTCATCATTTCCCTTTTCTTCTTCAAATTTCGCGCATATTCTCTGAGTTCCTGGCAACATCGCCTTAATAATTTTGTTTATCTTTAATCGATTTAACTTTTGTAGTAACATTGTGGTTTTTCGTAATTTTGACCGATGTTTCCACTTTAGCTAAGTTATCAATTTATCAACCGACACAATGTTAAAGATTTTATAATCCCTAGATAAGCTAACTGCTTCTGAAACCTAAAAATTTTAAAACTTTCGACGCCTCCAAAGATTACTTTACTTACAGCTAATTAAAATAAAGATTAATTAGCTGTAAATAAAGTAATATTTGGAGGAGGAAAAGAGGAAAGAACGCAAAGGGTAAAGACATAATTTCTAATGAAATAAAGCATATAAAATCCAAATCTACGCTTTTCAGAAGACATTTATAGTATAGGTAATACATATGCCATAAAAGGGAAAAAAATAGGTGTATATACTGAGTTTATTTTAACGTGCATTTAGTTTTAATTAATATTTAATTCATTATTTAATAAAACAATAACTTTTTGACAATTTCCGAGCATCAGTCCATACAACGACCATTTAATATAATGTCCTTTTACCCAAAGGGTCGTTTATAACGCTAGTTGGCTGCACTAGTAAGTCTGTGGATACGTTTGAAGAAAACAACGAGAATGTAAAATGCATCGCGTTCACGGGTTTTACAGAAGTTTTGAACACAGCATGATGGATTTTTTTAATTCGGAAGCCCATTTTATCTGAGCTTTTGGAACCCATTATCATATACCATAGGAATTTTATTATTTCTTAAACTAATTTATGATTAAGAAACGTTAAATAATTATCTAATATTCAATTAATTAATTATTTAGGATCATTGCGATTGTGACTTGCTCAATGCTTTCATAGTTTGAAATCAATATTTGACTTCAGCTTACAATAAATAAAACGACAATAATTTTTACGTCATTCGAGAAAGTTGTATGGTTTTTTGGAGCTAAAATTCGACTTATCAAAAATTTTAATTTCAATATATTTCGCAGGTGGAATGCTCATTTTGAATAATCGAAACTTTTGAACTGTCTTAATTAAAACAATCAAAGCTGTTCGGTATAAGTTTACTTCAATATTGAAAATTTAAGCAATTTATGAATACATATAAATCATGCATATAAGTCATAAAATATTTTATAAAATCAAAATCAATTCCATAGATATATTCCAAAATTATAAAAATTAAGTAATGGTTATACATTGGATGTTCAAGAAAGAGAGCTACAGTTTTTAATTTCTTAAATACTTACTGTAGGCATGTAGCTATAATTATAAGATTTTTCAAAGTACAGTGCGCACCTTTATGAAAATAGTTTTTACTCCATGGTTGGTAAATTTCCATAAATATGAAATCCAACATTTCAGTTCATCATAGTAACATTTTAGTAACATTTCTGAAAAACATGAAGTTAAAAAAATATTCGTTATGTTTCTGTATATTAAGATGAAAGCATTTTAATATTTTATTAAATTCGCAGACATAACTTCATGGATCCATCAACAAATTTATTTGAGAAAACTTTCCGTGGACAGAATCATTAACCACTAAAACAAAGAACTCTTTTCTTTCTTTTACCGCTTAAACCGTATTTAACTCTGAGTCTGATTTCAGATATCTTGAAATGTATCTGTAATTGCCCTGAAAAAATTATTTTAGCTTGTTAATTCGTATTTGGATATCTCCGAAAATTTTGCAACGCTGTAACAGAATCTTTCAATTTTTATCTCGGAAAAGCATGTCAAATATTTTACTTATTGGAATCTTTATGGCATAAGGAATGCATAACGTTAAATTCTGTTTTTACAAAGCCGTATCAATTGCATTGTTGAAAATTATTTCAAAATTCTCTAATTTTTTTTAAGAAACTTTAAATTTGAAGTATATGTTTAAGACTAATATTTAAAAACATAAAATTAATATCTGCCTTTTTCAAGCACCCTATGCAAAAATACAATCGCAATTACAAAATTTTTATCGTGATTACTATATTTTTAATACTTGAATAAAAACGAATATATATTGATTGACAGGGTGAAGTGTCGTACTATAAAATTAGTATTAAATTTAGTAACTTAAAATTCATTGCTAATTTTGCTTTAGATCACTGTAAGCATTTTAATTTAGGTGGCATCTTGAAATGGAAATAAAAAAAGGAAAATTATTCAACTATTTGAATGACTTAATATTTGATATTTCAGTAGAAATGTTTTATCACAGTATGTCACCGTATAAAGATCAAATAGTAAATAATAATATCTGCATCAAATTTTTCATACCAGCAACATATAAGACTTTAACATTTACTAAGATTAAATTAGAAAATATACCTGTTATTGGTACAATCACAAGATTTGCTTCTTTTGGGAGAAAATTTCTCAATTCTTTATCCAAATCTGGAAACCTGGACATCAAATAAACATCAGGATACCGTCTTCCGTTTTCCATTTTGTGCAAATGTTTATAATCCTATTATTTAGTTAATTCTGATAACAATTTAGAAAATTATTAATTGAAGTGCCTTCTAAATCTGAGAAAAAAATATTTTTGCGGAAACATGCCAATAAAATGCCGCTATCAAATTAGATTAGATCGTGCAACAACAAACTGCAAAATAACTTCCTTTTCAGCTGAGTTGTTTTATTTTATAAGTGAAATGGGTCATTTCTCAAAATCGGGGGATGTAGGGGGGGGAAACAGCACTCGGGAAGTCAACCAACCCTGACTACGCTTTGCAATCGCAGACCCAAAGGTATTGCCAACTTGCTTTCTGATACCAGCTGGTTTTACCTCTCCCCACCTTCTAAGCGTCGTACTTTCACTGATGAGTGTCGACTTTCGTTGTTATTGATGCAAAGATAAGATGAGATAATGGATTGAAAATTTTCTTTGCATTGCAGAAATTTATCAAAAATCTACTTTAAATTCTCAGCAATTTCAGAAATGCTTTTTCAGTTCATGATTAACATTTCTACCAAACACATATTTTTTATCAATCATTTAGTATTAATATATAAATCGTTTTGATATCAATATATAAATAGTTTTGATATCAATACATAAATAAATTTGATACCAATATATAAATAGTTTTGATATTAATATATAAATAGCTTTAGTATCAATATTTAATATTTTATTTAGTTAATAATTTCATAATAGTTTAGTACGCATATTTATTTATCAGTCAATTATTATAACATCTCTGATGTGCTTAGCAAGAAATGTTTTGTGATATTCTCTTGGCTGTTCCCGGCCCCCTGTTTGTTCTGAATAAAAGCTAGCATATATATGACTTATCACAAAGATTTAGAGCAGCAGGTGTTCTCAACCGGTGGTACGCAAAAAGTATTTTTAACTATTAAATTCAAAAATTAAAACCCTACATTCTGATTGAGTTATTTCTCTAATACTCGTAAATTTATTGAGCTTTGTTGAAGAGTGGTGGTGGTAGTAGTACTTTATAGTGGTGATACTAAAGGTTTTCAATTTTTGTTTAGATGGTACGCGTTAGTCAAAAGGTTGAGAAACGCTGATTTAGAGGAATAAGGCAAAAAGCAACCTTATTTGAGTGTACATTTTCAGATTTTGAGGTCATTAGACATAGCTACTCTTCTTCAGAAGCCAAAAATAATTGTTTTATATCTTCTAAAAATAGATAAGTTTTTATTTACAATTTATGCCAAAGATTACATTTTTAACAAATGACTTTCCCCTTTTCTCTTTCCTCTGCAAATATTGCTAGGACTGACTAGGCAACGAAACATGTATTTTAGGTTAGTTATATCAATAATTAAAGAACTAATACTCCTTCAATACCGGACACTTTTTCGAAAGCATTTTTCAGAAATGACTGAAACAACTAATCATTTAGTCATCTTATCCTGGAGAATGCTGGGCGACAAGACATACCAGAATAACACAGGAAGAAACATACGAGGCACCATGTAATGGTATAGACACTGTGCCGTGATGCCGTATTGATCGAAGGAAGCATCCTATTTTCTTTCTTTCCTCCGACGGTGAGGCAGCTGATCCAGTGGGGCAGTTAGCATATCGGCCGATAGGCCCGCTGACGGAATTAACTTTGTTACAAACATTCCTGGATTGCCAGCTTCTTAGGCCTATGTTTGGCGAAAGAGAGAAGTAAACTGATCTGTTCCAGTTCTTTCAAAAGTCCACTTTGATGCATATTGTGCTCATGACGAATGCTGGGGAGTACAAAACAAATGCTGGGCGAGTCAAAAAAGGAGCATTGTGGGTGAGGAGAACAATTTCAGCTTCACATGTACAAATGGCTACAACTTAAGTACTGTCAACAGGCATTCACAACGTGAACAATAAATGAGTATTGTGGATAGTTAAAATACAGATATTGGTATAATTGAGTTACAGTCAGCTAAATAGTGCATTAATTATTATTGGTGATAAGATACTAATCCACAATGGCACTGATCAAGTAAAGCATCCTACTAGGGCTCCATACTATCTTTTGAAAACGTAGCAGTGAGCCTCATCAGAATCAGGACTTTATGATGATACAACAATACTATTCCCCGTTCCTCTGCTTAAGCGAAGCATCGTATAATGACCCTGTGCTTATCTTTCCAAACCATAGCAGTGAACCTCTGTAAGATGCTTCACTAGATCATTAACATCACGGAATAGCATCTATCTTACCATGTTTTAAAGATACTACAATCGAAGAATGTCTGTTGGGAGGGAAATATTCATATACAGCCAAAATGTATGCTGAAGTTGAGCTCGCATCCTTGATTTCAGTTTAGCAATCAGTTTCACTACCCACAGAGCCGAATTCAAGGACAATTGTGTACTGCAGATACATGGGATCCGTAAGCAACTTTTTGACAACCTTGATAAGGTCGGTTCTTAGTAATTGCTCATTCATGCTTGACCGTTCACGCCATTTTCTGCTCAGGTCCGCATTTCCTTTATGGGAAGCATTTGACCATAAAACCCTGACAATGTAATTACTGTAAAGTGAGAATATAGCTAACAAAATATTAATTCCTTAAATCATAAGTGTAAAATTTGGACTAAATTACATAGAACAGAACATAAATCATGATATAAATGCCTTAGAATTCATAATCGTCATGCTGTCATTAGGATTGTCGAAGCAGAAAACTTGAAACATGAGCTATGCTATCTCCAGTAGTCGAACTCCGAACATTTCGAATGTCAACCGGATTCTTACTCCATATCGTGTGCTTTTCGATTACACCTCAAAAGCCCACGGTAAGGAGGCAGAACAAGCGTTATAGCATATATATATAATATAACAATTTAGTTAAATCTTGGATTCATTTGGGAACACTTTACACGAATGCTTACATTTTCAGACATTAAGATATAAATTTAGTTCATATTTAAGAGGCATGTTTGGAGCTCCGTATAAATAAAATTAAATCATAAATATAAGAATGAAGTTTTAGAGGATTATTTGTAAGTATTTTATATTTAAAAGATTAAAGTTATCCTTAGAAGGCCATTTTTGGTCTTTAATTGTATTCTTATATTTATCTATGATTCTGTATCTTTTCAAATTGATTTAAATTTTGTTTCTAACTGCTTTAAAATATGAATTGGTTTTAATGTAATTTTTAGTAAGTTATTTCAGTATGAGAATCTATTATAGTTAATGTAAGTCGGTTTAATTTGTCACTTATTTGCTGCATCATTAAATATTAGCACCAAGTTTCGTACTTATGATGGAAAAGCAACTGTGTTCAAAAGAACTAAGAGATAAATGCCTGAATGGAATAATAAAAAATGCAAATGAACATTTTAGTTGTGTGATATGGTTCAATGACTATGCATAATAAGATTCTATAATCATAAGATAATTTAACACGTAATTTGACATAAAACATTAACACATGTAATTTTCCTTTGCTGTCAGTGTTATTTGTGAGCAGATACAGCTCATAATTTTCTGAACTCTTTAAATAAGCAAACAGAAAACTAAAGAAAACAAAAGACAAGAAAAAACAAAAATGGAAATGAAACTAAAACAATCAAACGGGATAATGAAAAGCAAATTTCTATAGCTATATATTCTATAACTTCTGAATCACCCTCTATGAAACAAGAGTTTTATTTAGATAAACTCTTAACCTGTAATCATTCACAAATATGGAAAAAATTAGATCTGACACTTTTAAACATCGGATTGTTCAAACAGTTGCTTTCGTATTCTTCTTTAAAAGCGTTTAATTTTTTCCTAATTTGAAAACTCATTTATAATTGGCTAATAATTTCATTCTTAATTACAAAAAATATATATTTAATTTCCTTTGTTTTACAGAGTGGGAAAAGTTTACAAATCTTTGATAATAACGTTATTTCAAAATAATATGCAATTTATCAAACAATTTGTTGCAGATAAGTCTAGTATATTATTAATTAATAATATTCCATTGTATTTATGACAAGTATGTTCTACACTGATTATCGACTTATTTTGTTCTTTATATATAAATCAGAATGAAATGCGTTATATTATTTTGAACCACGCGCAAATATGCTCTTTTAAATGAGTTTATAGAGCCTTTCTGATGCTTTTTGTAATTTGCGCAATGAATGAAGTACAAATGAAACGAAACGAAAAGAATTTATTCATAATTTATCCTCCTAATGGTCACAACTTCCTGAACATACGAGCAGAATGTAAATAAAGTATACCAAGTATACCAGTTCATGTCGCTTTCATTCCTACAGGTTACCAGCAATATTTAATATTCAGCTCGTTTCTTTCGAAAACTCGGTATGTCGAGCCAATTCTGTCAGCCATTTCTGGCCACGGTTTACACTGAATTCTCATATTTGCTACATTTTCAAATTTTTGTCTTTCTCCTTTGCTGATGTTACAACATTTTCAGTAGTTATTGACGAGTTAAGCCGCTCGGATTTTGCGATAATAATATTTCAATAATTAGAATCGCTTTTATTCATATTTAAAGAAGCAGATATAAGAAAGAGATATTAAAATGAAATGACACTAAAAGAAAACAAAGAAAAATTTTGGAAGATGTTTGCCGTGAAATTTTTGACATTCTACATGAGTACATTTAGTAGGGTTTACTTTACTTTTCAAATAGTTATTTTTATTTTGCAACAAGTCTTTCCTTTACATTTTTATTTTTCACGTATTTTCCCTACCGCAATGAGTTTAAAGCAGGGGTTCTCAACCGGTGGTACGCCAGAGAAAAATAGGCGGTACTCGAAGATGCAAGGCATTTTTAACTATTAAACTCAAAAATTAAAACCCCAACATCCTGATTGAGGTTTTTCTCTAATACTCGTAAATTTATGCGATCTGAGCTTTGTTCAAGAGTGGTGGTGGTAGTAGTACTTTACAGTGGGGGGCACTAAAGGTTTTCAGTTTTTGTTTAGATGGTACGCGTTAGTCAAAAGTTTGAGAACAGCTGGTTTAAAGGATTACGTTTTATGTAAATAAGGAAGAAACCAGTATTTTAGCTGAACACTAGAAGAGAGTAGAAGATCGTAGGAGAGTGTCTGCCTTCTGGCCACGTTGTTGCTGCTAGTCTAATCTTAGTGTTATTCGGCTGTACGCCGGTGATTTTAAATAAGGGCCAACTCTGTTAGT